TTTAATTTTTTGTCTTTTTTTTTTGTTATTTTAGGATGGATTTATCGGTCAAAGGAATAAGCTTTTGTGATTTTTACAAGTTTTTAATCTTTATCTTATTTCTGCATACTAATGTTCATTTTCCATTTTTATGTGCACATATTTTATAAAAAAGTCTGTTGCCATTTTTCAACTTTATATCTCTACTATTAAATTTGGAGAATGTCATAAAACTTCTATATATGTAGTTTAGTATGTGTAGGTACATGCTATCACAAATTGCATCGACACTTTTTGCCCTATGTAAGGGACTATCATATCAGTTTACACGTCTGTGAACTGTCTGAAATAGCCAGAGATATGCCCGTTGGATACATCATAGTTTTGCAAGTGGTAGTAATTGGCGTTCTTTTGTAATAATTTTGATGAATTAGTTAAATGATGTAGTATTAGAAGAGTTAGAGAAAATACATAATAATGATAAATGGGGTGCTTTATTTACTTGCTTCAAGAACTCAGTTCATAAAGTTGCATTCTTTAAGCGAGATGAGATGTCCTTTTTTTTTGAAACTTGTTTGATAGTGAAATCAATACGGCAATTAGTTTGTGTAGGAATGTTAAAAGCAAAGAGTGATTGAGATTTCTTAATTCTTATTTTTGGAGAAAAATATTTATGTATTTGAACTTCTATGACTTTTCTGATTATCTAAACTGATTTGCAATTACAGTTATTGAAAGAGTGGCTCTATCAAGTCTCTTCTTTCTGCAGATGTACCACTGATTTGCACCTTCTGATGTGAATTTATTCTCAACTACGCAGCTATGTCCCGGATGCAAGGGGAAAGGAGTATCCTGGATTCCTTTCCTGAAACTATTGATCTAAACCAAGGGTCTTTCTCTAATAATGATTCTGTGGATCATTCAGCTGCTTGGGATGACATGCTAAATCCAGTTGAGAGTCGACTACCAAATTACATGCTTTCCTCTAGTGAGGGAAATATTGGTTGTATAAATACTGTTAACAGTCATGCCCGGAGTGTCAGTGGCTGGGATGTAGGTGAATCCAGTTCATCAGCAAATAATCTGCAAAACGAAGTCCACGGCGATGTTTCTAGAATGAGACACAGTTGGTCGTCCTCTTTCAATGCTTGTTCTGGTACAGATGCAAGAACAGAAGATTGGTCTTTTGAGCCGTCTAATGTCGATAGTGCTGGTTATGGTGGCAACCAGGCAACTGGCAGATACCCGAGTATGCAAAATTATGGTTCAAATCCTGGTTCACTGAATGTAAATATGAATCATGGGTACGCTAGCGAGAATGATGATCAGAGAGGCATAAGATCAGGTCAATTACAAACTTTTTACAAGTCTGGTCAATCAGAGACAAGGCAGATTCCTAATTTTTACACTTCTTCCAATAGTAGAGGAACTTCTTCCGGTATTTCTGGTACTTTATTGGAAAATGACGACACACCAGGTCCATCTTTGGATACTTGGGGCTTATCCTGCAAGAGAAAGGCTCTTGAAGGTACTTCTCGACAATTTTACCCTGGTGGAAGTTCCAGCTCCAGTCAACCAATTGAGAACATAATGCAGCACTCTGTTCCTTCTCGCTATGTTGCACCTGGAGGTTTAAGTATATCATCGGAAACTAGCAGCTTAACTAGAGCTAGTCATTCTGAACAACTAAATCCGAGGAGCGGGGTTGTCTTGGATAGAGTAGCATCTGGAATTCGTCCCTTAAGTGTTCCAGGAATTAGAGAAAGCCCTGCTAGAAACTTTGGTGTGAGATCAAATCTTGGACACCAGTCTGTATCATTTGATATGCCCATAGGCTCTGATGCAAGACATTCTAGTGTTTATGCAGCACAGCCCTCGAGACCTATCTCAAATATTGATTCTTCAGAGTTGAGATCACCATTTTCTTTTCCAATAAATCTAAGCAATCCGGTCAACCAATCTCATACAATGCATATCTCTCAGGCGAGAAGTACACTTCCATTTGCTTGGAATGGATCTCCTGATGCACGAAGTGGCAGCTCAACTGGCTCTTTAATGCTCACTGGAGAAAGAAGTCCTGCAGTGAATGAAGACGTTAATTTTAGAAACCCTTACAGAAATAATGCTGATTATCCCTTGTTTATTTCTTCTCCAGAGACAAGAAATATGCTGCAGGACCAAATTGATTGGAGTTTTGTTCCTGGAACTTCCGGATCTTCGAGAAATAATTCTTCTGCTTCTCGGGTTGGCTCCAGTTCTAGCGTGCCAGCTATTCCCCCAGCGTGGACACCTCATCAGAATCCAGCAATGCAAAGCCAGCAAACGTCATCAGAATATTCCCTCCGGGCTCCCTTCCCATTTGTTGAGTCTGATTCTGGAATTCAAAGAAGTCATTTCTCGGCCATGCCTTCCGCCTCTTCTTCCTTGGATGAGGTAGCAACTAGTAACCAGGCCCGCAATCAATCAGATCAAAGGTCAGCATTCTTGATGGCAGTTCCGGGTGGTGACATCAGTGGTCGGCGTGCTTTAGCTGCTGATACTGATGGGAGACAGAGACTGGTATGAGTTTGCCTACCTTCATACGACAATTATTTTTTGGGTACTAAAGCTTGTGTAATTTTGTGCGTGCGTGCGTGCGTGTTATGCTTGTTTATTTGGGGAAAGTACTAAATCTCATATATTTCTCCTATCTAAAAAGCCCAAGAAACTACAGTGTGTTAAACACCTGAAGTAGTTATCTTGCTATCACGAAGTATAGATGTTAAATTAAGCCTTGACACTGTCAATTAGCATCAGTATAATCACAAAAATACCCTAGTATAATAAATCCTGAACAGAAGTTATTAGTTGAAATTGTTATATTAATACTCAATAAAGTTCTTCTCTTCGTAAAACTTATAATTTTCTACTTTATGGGTTTTTAAATATGTAAAATATTCTTTAAATTTTCTATAGAAGAAACTTTGAAGATCTATTATTTTCCCTACGAAGCACTGACACTATTAAAAGTAATATTAATTTTTTTTATATTTTTCATTTTTTTTCTTATATTGTAAAGTAATATTTTTTTTTTCGGTGTGTCGACATTGTATTGACAACATGTCGACAATATATCCCTGTCGTGTTGGAAATGTATGTCTCGACATGAACGTGCCCAACTCTATAAAACCAAAAAATAATTTGGACACATTCCTTGAAATATCTGACACGTGCCAGTGTCCAACACATGTCGGCGTCGTGTAGGAGACCGACTTGCTGATCGGGAGAGTGTAGGTGCATCCTATATTTTTCCCCCTTTTCATGGTTCTCGATGTGCTTGACTCCATTTCGGAGTTACATGCATCATATACATTGGTTTTCGTATTCTTTTTCACGCCTTTCAGGAAGCCATTTTAAACGAATTCCAACTTTCCAATATTGTTTTTATGTTTTTCAAACTACTTGTTTGACTGCCTATTCACCTTTTCTCTAATCGCTTCATATGTTAAGGTTGTATGTTATTAGTTCATTCTGCTTCCTCAGTACAATTATCAAGTATATTCTAATGGTCTTCCGTCATTATTTTCATGATCAAATGCTAAAGAACTGACCTAATTGTGTGCAAGTATGTTGTACACAACACATCCTTGATTTATTCCGATTGCAAAAATATCACAAAATGATTCCCAACCAATTCTCCAAATAAATAATTCCACACC